AGCCCGGGGCAGGAAACGAGCTGGACTTTAGTTTACACTCAGGAACAGCCGGAGCTGGGAAGAGCAAACAAAGATTGGTCCCAGGAGTGCTGGGACAGAGCAATCAACCGAGGGAGCTTAAACAGGGCAAAGATTCCCGGGTTTTGTTTCCTCCAACTCACATTGAGCTCGATGATCCAGAGCAGGGAGATGAAGAGCAGGTCGAAGGTGACGAAGAGGCAGAAGGTCCTCCTCACATCCGAGATGACCTTCCTCTTCTCTGGGGACAAGAAGTAGGGGGAGAAGCCCTGGCTCTGGGAGAGGGAGGAGCTGATGGAGGCGATGGCTGGCAGGCTGCGTTCCAGGTCGTGCTGCAGGTCCGTGGGCTTGTTCATCCTCCGGGATCGGCACCGGGAACGGCGGCGGCGGCAGCGTCACCTGCGGGGGGACAGCAGGGACACTCGGACACCCCTCCTGCCACCCCCCAGAGGCAAATAATCCCATGAACATCAGATATTGGGAGGGAATTCCTCCCTGTGAGGGTGGGGAGGCTCTGGAACAGGTTGCCCAGAGAAGCTGTGGCTGCTCCATCCCTGGAAGTGTCCAAGGCCAGGTTGAAGCAACACAGGATAGTGGAAGGTGTCCCTGCCCATGGCAGGGGGTGGGACTGGAGGGGCTTTAATGCTGTGACAGCAGAAAAAGGAGCCCCAAATCTCACAGAGATGCCATGGCAGAAGGAAAAGGGGCCACAAACCCCATGGAGATGCCATGGCAGAAGGAAAAGGGGCTACAAACCCCATGGAGATGCCATGGAAGCAGAAAAAGGGGCTGCAAACCCCATGGAGATGCTGTGACAGGAGAAGGGACCCCAAACCTCATGGAGATACTATGGCAGCAGGAAAAGGGGCTGCAAATCCCATGGAAAGGCAGTGACAGGAGGAAAAAGGGGTCCCAAACCCCACACAAAGATGTCGTGGAAGCAGGGAAAGGGGCCTCAGGGTGTTTCAGGAGCAGTCCCCAGGATCAGCTCACGCTTCCCTGGGCAGGGAAGGCAAAGCCTCGGGAGCTGAGGGCACAGATCCCAACCTGCACAGCCAGGACAGGACCCTGCTCCCCCCAGGGGTGGGGTGGTGGGTCTGGTGCCCAGCTGGGCCAGGCAGAGCAGCAGGGAGGCAGCAGGGAAGGGGCTGCTCTGTGTCCCAGCCCAGGGCTGGCAGTGCCGGGCACACGCGGTCCCGGCACGAGCGAGGTGCTGGAATTCTGAGCCTGTTTTCCTGCAGCTGTGCCAAGCATTGTACTGAGATGTTTCCTCTCCGTCAGAGGAGCACAAGGAGGGCCCTGTGGAGCTGGAGAGTGACACGGGCACGGGAGACAAACACAGAACGAGGATGCCAGAACAGGTCGGACCAGGGATCTGTCAGTGCCACCTCCCAGTCACCCCCACTCCCTCCCTCCCTCCCAAACCCTCCTGCTCTGGGATGTTTTGCCTCCCAAAAGAACCTCCTCTTGGACTGTTTGTGGTATGAGCTCTGGGGCAGTTCCGTCCCTGCTGAGATCTGTCCACGACAGACCCCAACTGTGACAACCAGGGAAAAACAACACAGGGCTGTGCCCAGGCCTTTGGGAAGGGGCAATCCATGGGGGCAGGTGAAGCTGCCAAGCCCCCTGGACACTGGAGCACCGAGCACAGCCTGATTTGGGGCGACCTGGGGCTAATTTGGATCCCTGAGCCAGCGGCTCCTGCGTCCCATCCCTGGGGAGCAGCAGGGCCGGGAAGGGAACAGAGCTGGACTCCTGTCAAGTCCCTGCTAGTCCCCCCTTTGGAGGCGCTTCCGAAGGAGCTGGAAGCCCTGTCACTTCGGATCAGCCACTCCAGGCGCCGGGCCCGGCTCAAAGTGACAAAAGTTAAGGACATCTGTGGGGGATAAATAATAAATCACCTCACGCCGGGGCCGCCGCCGCCCCCTCCCCCCCTCCTACAGCACTTTGCACTTAGGCAGCCCCCTCCTCCCAACTTTCACAGCGCTTTAAAATCACCCTGGGAGGCTCCAGGGACCCGATCCCGGGATGCCGAGGGGCCAGGGCGGGGTGTTGGGACACGGCAGGACGTGGGGACAAGGTGGGACATGGGGACAAGGTGGGACATGGGGACACGAGGACACGACAGGATATGGGGATATGGGGACACGGCAGCCCTGGTGCAGCTCATCCATCATTAATCCCAGCCTTCCCAAGGAGGTTTAAGCTTGGTTTAGAACACACACCACCCCCTATACACCATCCCAAACCATCCAGGCACTATGGATTCCCGAGGGAACACCAGAGCACCGTGGGGCAGGAATATTGGAAGGCTGAGAGCAGGGCCTGGATGAGAGGGAGCGGAGCAAGGCGGCTGTTCCTGGGTGGCAGATGAATTATTGAGCTCCCCGGTGCTGTATTATGCATTCCAGCATCCTCCGCATCCCGCTCGCTCCTGCAGCCGGGAATGAGGGGGGGGGGAGGTCAGCAGAGGGTCGGGCTCTGCTCCCAGGGAATGAGGACGGGACCAGAGGGAGGAATTCCTTCATGGAAAGGGCGGTCAGGCACTGGAAGGGGCTGCCCAGGGAATAGTGGAGTCTCTATCCCTGGAATGTTCAAAAAAAAAAAGCTGTGGATGCAGCACATGGGGATGTGGGTTAGTGGTGACAGTTAAGGGTTGATTTGGTGGCCTTGGAGGGCTTTTCCAGCCTAAATGACTCCATTAGGAGTCACACAGGGGGGACACTGCAGGGACCCCTCAGAGCTTCTCTGCCTCAAAAAAAAGGGGATTTTTGGACTCTGAGGGAGGATTTTTGCTGGTGAAACCTCCTGGTTTGGGGATCAGGAGGCCACAGGGGCTGCAGGGACCAGGGGTGATTCCATATGGGCAGGGAATCCCAGTGGGAAGTGAGCATGGAAGGGAGGTGGAGGGTTGGGATCTTGATCCAATATCCAGCATCAGCAGGCAGGGAAACACCCCCAGCCCAGTG